AATCTGCTGTGGTCCGCTGATATCCAGTAGAGGATAATGACTTATGATAATGTGAAATGCGTATGCAATGGCTAGGAATTGAAATGCACCGTTGTGGCGGCTGATTTGCTGTTATTTTGTATTGAGAGTTTCTTCGTATTTCGCATGGTAGCGAGTATGATTCAAAGCATAACTGCGATTTGCAGTAGGTGGGCTAGCTCATAAACTGTCAACCAAAATTCCGAAATGAGTTTTCGTTTTGGAACGATTAACGTAATCACGTTGTAAAACTAATCATGTGCAACATAATCCAGTTGTCTAGGGATGCCGTCTTTTGAAAGAATTTTCTTTTGGCTGCATCCAAAAACTATACTCTGTAAAAAATAACTACATTTGTATCATATATTTTTCTCATTGACTTTCGATGCCATTAAACATTCAATTATATTTCATGGAAATCATTCATCAAACTATTTATAATTTTGCTTATTCGGTAGAACATGAAGTCCACTTTCGATTCTTAACTCAGGGGAAGTTATCGTTCTGCGTCAAACAGTTTATGATTGTGTGATTTTCTAATGCCGTGAAATGGCCTTTCATTAAACGTAATGTGACTTGTAAAGTTAACAATATGACTCAAATCTTCTGCTACATTGTATGAGCCCTATTTGGTCCCCCTTTATACCATGAAGGAATGTATGTGCTTCCGTACTCGGAAACAATACTGCTTGTAGTTCGAAAACCCTGAATACACACGCATCAGCCCGTCGGGTTGAAATTATTCGGAATTTAAAAACAAAAATTCGTAAAAATCAAATTATATCCTCCCGTTGAGCGTGAACCTGGTAGAAGACGTAATTATTTGCCGAAGGAGAAAAAGACTGCATATTTTATGCATGTTTTTGATAAAACATGATTGAATTTTAAAGACGATTTGGAAATTTATGCTATTTACTTACTCAGTTTTTACAGAAAGTAGGTTTCGCATGCAGCCAGAAAGAAGTCCCTTCGAAAGCCGACATCCCAAGGTAACTGAAATTTTATAGAATTATGCTGCATGAAAATTAGATTTACACTCTCATTTAATTAGTCTTTTCGGAAGGCATTTTGTAATGTTAGCTGACATTACATTAGTTAGCCCACCTAATATGCAGTACTGACAGTTTTGATTAGATAGATCTAGTCTGAACTTCCCAGCACTTGCCTTAGCCGGCAACGGGCTAGGTTGAATAATGGCATGGCCGTCTGCGATGTAGACGTTGAGTGGAATGTCTGCTGCATCTGTGGTTGCTCCTTCCGGCTTCGCCTGATTGAGGAGCTTCCCTCGTCCCGAAATCATGTGTTTGCCGAAGTTTGGGTGTTAGATCTTCTCCTGAAAGGAACGATTCTATGGGCCCGACTCTCGCGCGCGGCTTGTGGAGCTTCCTGCTCAACTACTTTTTCGTTGCCTATGTCAACGGATGAAAAGCCCTGTACTGCTTTATGCGACAGTGTTCTCATATCCGAATTACTAAGTCGCAACTGCATCGTTCGGTGCGACAGTGATGTCTGCCTTTTCGCGACAAAGCCGGTTTTGCGCGATTACTTCTTTTTAACTGGAGGTTCGCTGGGTTATAACATCTCGCCGATATTTCTTGTAAAGTGCTAGTCGTTGTTTCAAAATTCGGGGTAAAAGAGCATTTACGAATTCCACAGGATGATAGCCAGGTTAAATATGTAATTATGCAGCCAAATTAATAAATCGCAGGGATAAATTCCAAAGCATTTTAATAAATTACGTTAAACAACCGGCGGAGGCGTTGATGAAGAAAATGACAAAAGTTTCATCAATGTGTCTTGCATCCCACTGACTTTCACTTAGTTATCTTTCGTCGTGAGCTATTTGTATAATCATATAATGAAATATTAGTAGTTAAAATAGATAATTATTAGGCTGCACTGCAAAAGCGCCATATGCATCGCACAAACCACATAAAACTTGACTTTAGCAGCTGTCAAGACCAGGACATACAGTTTCGAACGCATCTGTGGATCCATGAGACCGGTTCCAATACACTGCGTATACAGTGGGCTGGATAGTTCGATTTAGCTTATAGGTTTTAACAAGATTAAAAAAATGTAAACTTGGATTTTGCGGTATACCATGCATTAGAGCACAGGTACTATGTAAAATGCTAGAAGCCTGTTCCCACTGATTTTCTGTCGCTGTTGTTATGATTGTGATAGCGGTTTTGAAATTGCAGCTTTATATTCTCTCAGATGTTAGGCATTAAGTTCGAGTTGGTCAGTCAGTTTGGGACTTATGGTCTTAGCCACAGCAAAAAAATTACGTGATAGCCACAAACTACCAACAGACAGCGACTGAAGAGCCACAGCTTCCGTATCGGTGCAAATGAATGGCAGAATGTCGATGAAACTCGTGTTTAGGCTTTTGGCCTAACACTTCGCTGAATATCAAGCAGTCCATATAGATACTATTTTACTATTACGCGGTCGATCCTCTGTGGCTGATAGGCATCAATTCATAGTTTCATATTTCATCTGCACTTTCATTTATGGTACATTACAGTATAATCATTATACGCCAGAGGAAAATATGATAACAGTCCCTACACGGAATATACCATCACTTAGCAAGGTGTAGTGTTAAGCTCTGTTGCAGTGCAACGTGTTTAAAAATGGACATTCAAACGTGCAAAGATAATTTAAGTTTTTGGATCATATATATTATGACACATGCTCATTTTACATGCTATAAGATTAAAAATGGAGTAGAATGATATTACCGACAAAGATAAGGGAGACTGGAATGGTCATTTTTGGTTTATTAGCCGTGTTAAGCCAATAATACCCAACCCCGAAGTGTGACACACCCGAGGCTCGAACTCGCAACCTGTTTGTTAGAATTGCACGCTTCTAACCACTGAGCCACGAGCCCGTTGCTCTGCCGGTTTTTGATCGGGAATATACAATGATAGGGGGGCTCACTGATCGTTCCGTTTTGCCTTATGGATTCTCTATCGAGCCCAACCAGCAGCCGCACAGCTGCGGAGTTCCTAAAGATGCGACGCCTCGGTATTCCAACGAGTCATGAGTGACTTCGCCTAGACATACGATTTAAAGACGGCCTAAACGAGTTAGTTACATCTTAAGCGCATATGCTAGCAGGTTTTACTACTTTTTGCAAATAAAATTTCGGACCGATTACTCTACAATATAAAAATACTGCTTCTTGCGCAGGTATTTATGATAACTTTCCGAAAAGTCTAATGTGAATAAGCATTTCCGTAAATTCAAAAATAGTGACATAATTAGGCGCCGTATCCAACACCCTGATACAGTTCTGGATTTCCTGGAGTGGAACACATGGGAACTTTAAAAATTAAAGCATCTGCTATTTCACTCTATGTCACAACTTTGAGAAAATCCTAGTGGTTAAAAGGCCTATATAAACGTATACAAATGAAATTAATTTTTGATACGTAACTAGAGCCATTGGTCTCTCGAAGTTAAAAATAAATGTATTTATAAATTGCAATATATATATATATATATAATATAATAATATATGATATATATCACATATTATATTATACTTTAATATAATGTTATACATACAATAAATTATATATAGTAATATATTGTATATATTGTATAAATATTGATATGGGGAAAGATTCGAGGTCCAGATATTGTATCCCGTTCATCATCCCCCGAAGAAGACGAAGGAGAAGATGGGGTGAATTCATGGACCGAGTTATATTTGTCCTGACGTTTCGGAAACCCTGTCGTTTCCATCATCAGAGTAATGCGTTGACTGTTCCTGCTGGTCTTGATTGCGTCAGCCTTGATACCTGCCTGGTATTATATCCGTGCGCGAGGCACGAAATTTGACCTGCCCGTTCGCCGCCGATTAGCGTTGACCTCTCCACGATTGACCGCCGGTGGGCTCCTGCCACTAATGACCCCTTTTCGGCTGTCGTAATTGTTGGTGAGCCAGCATGTTTGTCGGCCTCCCCCTCGTCACTCAACGGACTGAACAGTTGTTGGGGCTCATGTGAGTTGATCTCAGCCTCGTGGGTGTTGCGGTGAGGTGGCGTCGCATGCTGGTCACATGATCCCCGGCCGGCTTCTCTCCCACTTTCTGCTGACATCGGCTGTCGGCCACGCGTCACTTTGCTCGACTGTCCTGATGGTCTTGTCCGCACTGACTCGATCCTTGTACGTAGCGCCTGATAGGCGGGATGCAGATCTATGCCTCTGTTGAGTGTGCCAGTCGAGGACCAACACTCGAGCACCAGTCTGGCCATCTTATCATTGGCTCGGCCGATTACCCTTGCCTATTCAAAGGCGAAATTGTGGTTCTGCTGTTTGACGTGGCCATAAACCATAGACAGCTTGTCCTTGCGGTTGATAGCAAGCTGGTGTTCATGCAATCTTGTGCCAATACGTTTGCCCGTTTCACAAACATACCTTGCATCACAGTTTTGGCATGGTATGCTGTAGACCACCGCTGATTGTACTGTCACCGGTAGCGGGTCTTTGGGTCTCATTATTTGCTGTCTGATTGTTGACTCTGGCTTATGAGCCACTCCGATCCCGAAAGGCTTCAGGATTCTTGCCGTCGCCTCTGACACGTTTTTCACATAAGGGATTATGAGCCAAAATTTCGGGTTTTCTCCGTCCAAACGCCCAGGGTGGGGCTTCTTAAGACACTTGCATATGAAGGACTTGGGATAACCGTTGGCTTTAAATAGGGCGTGCAAGTACTTAATCTCCTCCTTCCTCCCATTGTCGTCGCTGCAGTGTGTTTGAACGCGTTGGAAGAGGGCCCTGACACAACTGCGTTTGTGACCAACGGGGTGGTTGCTCTTGAAGTGGAGGATTCGCCTGGTGTTAGTTGCCTTACGGTAGACCGTTGTCCTTATCTTCCCGTCCTCCAGCTTTGTCACTTGTACGTTAAGGAAGGCCAGCTGATTGTTGAGCTCTTCTTCCATAGGAAACTGGATGTCGGGAAAGATTTATTTCAATAGTGCCTTGAAAGTCTGCACATCGCCCCTTTTAATGATAACGAAAGTGTCGTCGACGTATCTGGCCCAGAATTTTGGGGGGTACGAGCTGAAGACCAGCCGCTCAAGCCTCTGCAAAACCGCTTCGGCAATTAATCCAGATAGAGGCGAGCCCATTGGTGTCCTCTTCTTTTGCTCGTAGACCTGGCCGTTGAATGTAAAGAACGTCTTAAGACATAGTTCTAGAAGCTCGATGATGTGAACCCGTTTGAGCTGTTGATCGGTCTCATCATACTTTTCCTGGAGAAAACCGTCAATAGTGTCGATAGCCAGCGCGGGTGGGATGGAGGTGAACAATGAGATCACGTCAAAAAGCACCATCACCTCATCTGCCTCCAATTCCAGACGTTTGATGCGTGCCAAAAACTCTTCAGCCGACTTCACTGTCCACTCTGAATCCTTGGTAAGGAAAGGAAGTCGCTGGTACAGCCACTTTGACAGCCCAAAGTTTGGAGTACCACGTAAGAAGACGATGGGGCGTAGCGGCACTCCCGGCTTGTGGACCTTTGGTAAGCCGTAGAAGCGCGCCATTGCGGCATCACTGGCTTTTGCGGCCAGCGCTTCCCTTCTAGTAAGAGTGCCCGCCTTCCTCAGCCGGCCGATCGTCTTGTTTATGCTGTAAACGAGCTTTTTGAACTCGCTGACAGTCGATGGCGCATAAGCTTCCTCGTCCATCAAGAGGTTGTCTAGTTTTTTGAAGTACTCAGCCCTATCCATGACGACAGTAGAGCGCCCCTTGTCGGCGGGCAGGGTGACCATATCCTCTAGTCTTCGCCTTTGCATAGGCAAGGGTAATCGGCCGAGCCAATGATAAGATGGCCAGACTGGTGCTCGAGTGTTGGTCCTCGACTGGCACACTCAACAGAGGCATAGATCTGCATCCCGCCTATCAGGCGCTACGTACAAGGATCGAGTCAGTGCGGACAAGACCATCAGGACAGTCGAGCAAAGTGACGCGTGGCCGACAGCCGATGTCAGCAGAAAGTGGGAGAGAAGCCGGCCGGGGATCATGTGACCAGCATGCGACGCCACCTCACCGCAACACCCACGAGGCTGAGATCAACTCACATGAGCCCCAACAACTGTTCAGTCCGTTGAGTGACGAGGGGGAGGCCGACAAACATGCTGGCTCACCAACAATTACGACAGCCGAAAAGGGGTCATTAGTGGCAGGAGCCCACCGGCGGTCAATCGTGGAGAGGTCAACGCTAATCGGCGGCGAACGGGCAGGTCAAATTTCGTGCCTCGCGCACGGATATAATACCAGGCAGGTATCAAGGCTGACGCAATCAAGACCAGCAGGAACAGTCAACGCATTACTCTGATGATGGAAACGACAGGGTTTCCGAAACGTCAGGACAAATATAACTCGGTCCATGAATTCACCCCATCTTCTCCTTCGTCTACTTCGGGGGATGATGAACGGGATTGTATACATATATATAAATGTTAGGGGGCGCTCACCGATCGTTCATGCGGAGCTCACTCGTTCCGTTGTGTCTTATGGACTCTCTTTTATGGACTCTCTGCCTATATATATATAAATATATATATAGGCAGAGTGGTGTTACCGACAAAGACAAGGGAGACTGGAATGACCATTTTTGGTTTATTAGCCGTCGTCAGCTAGCCATACCCAAGTCCGAAGTTAGGAACACCCGAGCCTCGAACTCGCGACCTGTTAGTTTAGAAGTCCACACCTCTACCCATATACATATTGTACAATACGAGAGACCGATAGTTCTGTTTATGAATCAAAATCTTTTAAGGTAAGTTTTCAGTTTACATCACGGTACAAAAACGAATGTTTTAAGATTGTACCGGTGGAAATTCAGCGAGATGGTTTCCCATGGGGCGAAAACTGGGCGGACAATTTTGGCCAATAAAACCCGCGTTCCTGCCATCAGCTGCTGCATATTAACATTTACTGACCGTTTAATGTCGATTTATTTTCTACAGAAATCACTTTGAATCTCTTAAGGCTCACATTCGTAGAGTCTCAGATCTTCTAGCTGGAAGCATGCCCGTTTGCATTTGCATATGCCTCTGTTAAATTTCATCTAAGTTCGAACAACTTGTGGAGCGCGTGATCATAAGGCGACTCCGACGTACGATGATCACAATTAAATCTCCAGAATTGTTTATGCGTTGAGAATTGGCTGAATCTTTGTCCGTAAAGCATAAGGACAGACAGAAATGATTCGGGTGTACGAGCGAAAATTTTCATATGATTTTGTCATTAGCTCATATAATGCGGCCTGTTGACATTCCGATTAGGTGACACATGATTGTGTATTTTATAATGAAATATATCGTTTGATAAACTTCAAGGTTCGCAAATTTCACAAGTCCTCTTAGATGATAGTATTTTAGAAAACAGTTTCAACACAGCCCCTGTGTAAAGGAACTTGACAAGACAGACATTTTTATTCTAATTCCGTAGACAATAAATCAGTCTTCACTAAACAGTACATGCCGGGGGCATTTAGACATGGAAATGTGCAAAGGGCGAATCAAGTAGGGTAACTGAAAAGAACTATCTGTGGCAAGGAGGATTTTTTTGACCATAAGTTTACAGACATCCATTACTTTGCGAGTTAAGTAGTAACAAATACTTATTTTTCTTGATTGTACATATAAGCGGTAAATTTCGCAAAATATTTTGCGAAGATAGCCAACTGGAGACTGAAATCCGAATTTAAACACAGATATTAAAATAATTATCTTATCCAAATCGTTACTGTAGCCGACGGAATTGCATTGATACCTTTTCAGTCAGTAACTTGATCGAATGGCAGGTATAAGTAGGACGTTAATCAAACACGGTTTAGAAAGCACCGTCGGTAATAAAGGGAATGCTGAACTATACTCGTCGTTGGGACCCGGCAAAAATAATTTATGCACATACAACCTCGGATTCGCGAAGATTTGCCAAAACCTGTTATCTAGTCCAAGCCAGCGGGTTCCCCGCAGTAGAGAGGCAAAAAAAACTTGCGTATTTCCCATGACGCGTGACTTGTTTGCAGGACGCTATCCCCGCTAGGCCGGCTAGCTCTAGCTCTGTCACTGATTGGCTGGCCGTCCAAATCACGGCATTAGCTGCTTGCACTGGAGCCAATCCGCGTGTAGGATTATGGTCACGTGGGCAGTATGTAAACTGCTACAGGTGGGTATGTTGCTTTGCCAGAAGAAGTACATCAGCCGCGAAACAGGCTAATTACGATAGGATTGAAAACCTAGTCCGCACGGTCACCGGCCTGGTGGTCTAGGGGTATGATACTCGCTTTGGGTGCGAGTGGTCCCGGGTTCAAATCCCGGCCAGGCCCGCGTTTTTGGTTGTAATGCGGATCGGGAATTTGGATAAGCTCTAAGTTCACAGTGGGTTTCCAGAGTTTTCTGAGTGTTTTAATGTTGCAGCTCGAGAATGCGGTTTTCTAAATTCTGGCCACGTGCGCAGTCTTATGAACTACCCGTAGGCTGCATTGCTATTTTTTCAACAGACAATTTGACATTTTACAATTTGACGCGTCCTGATTAGACACAAGTGAGGACAAAAACCACCTTTGACTGACAGGGGGATGTTATCGCGTTGGTCGAAATTTATTTTATTAGTCATGCGGAACGTAACGTTTAGAGTTAAATGTAGTCCGACCTGATGATGCACTCGTTTCTTAATCGGCAAGAGGGCGATTTCAAAAGATCCTTTCCTTCAGTAAAAGCGTTATACCCTGACATTTTTTAGATTCTCCAAAACAAATTTGATAGCGGAACAATGTGGCTATCAGAGTAGACAAATACTGCAAATCTCTCAATTGGAGGAGGACTTCAAGCATGTTTCGACATAGGTTTTCGAGTCGCTAAGTCGGCATGTTATGGTGTTAGCCACAACGCAGGCAGTCTTTATTAAACCATAAGTAAATCAAGCCATTGGTGCTGATCTTCTGCTAAATTGCTTATGTGAAAACAGCATGACGTCAATATTTGTGCACCAACATCAATGCAAGCTATGCAACACCCGCAAGAGCTACTTAGATGTATCAGATATTATTTTTAGGCGGCATTCTGACTGCGATATAAGACATATGTGTATCCTGAATAACAAAAACGCGCTTTTTCCAAAACGTCTTTCCGTATTGGGGTCCGCTAAGCGAAGCGTAAATGCATCATACCTAGCCAAAACTGCAGGTTGTCTATAATGGTTCAAACATTCCACATAGCGATAAAGGCATACGTAAACCTAACGTGACCAGAATAAATGTCCACTAGCAAATGCATTGTCTTTGGCTGAGAAAATTATGTCTGCGTATTCGTTGGGCAGTGACGCCCTCTCCAACTCCCTTTTGAGAAACCTTCAAAATTATTAAAAATCTTCTCAGAATGCTGGAAAGACGAAATAGCTAAAAATTACGAAAAAATCAACTAATCGAATTTCTCTGTATCTGTAGTTATGTGGTGATCTCGCTAACGTGGTGTATCCGTAGAAACACGAAGATAAAGGGTAGATTGAAAGAGATTACCTATATGACCCTCGAACAGGGCAAAACCGAATGCCGTTCGATGATGTGTCTTTTAAGTAGAGGAATGAGCACAGCAGTATAAAAGTGGCCGGTACTTGTCCAATCAGCAAATTACTCTTTTACGTTCTTCACAATGAATTTCCAACATACAAAATTGGTTGTCACTGATTTTATCTACTCTTCTAATCTGATGCAGAAGCAAACTGCTTAATCGTCTATTCGTTTTGAAGGGAAACTGCAGTTTGCGAATTTTTCAAACTTATTTTCCATATTCCCACCTACATTAATATATAAATGCAAAGTACCGCAAATATCAAAAACGAGGAAGACGTAGTTGAAGGGATTTTATTATTGTCAGCCATTCTTATCGGATCGGCAATATATGCTATTGGTAGCACCATAAACCTTGTGTCTGCTCAATGCGTTGATTAATCGGATCCGACGAGTTGAAAGTCGAAATCTTTGCAACGTTTGGGAGACGTGTGTTGACGCGTTCAATGAACATTTGAGGCATCTCGACTGCGGTCAAACGGACGATGTTTTTGGTTTTGCTTGTTTCTTTCCAGTATGTAATGTCCACAAATGACTTTGCTGAAATATTGTACATTGTGACTGCTATCGGGCAGATTGGCTCGAGACCAGCCTAATATGAAATAGATAGCATGACTGCGTTATTTAAGAATTAGTTAAGGCAGGAAGATGGACAATAACCACTACGCCAATTATAAAAGTCAGTCCGCGATACTGATGCAATGGAATCTTACCAGATGTGTAATATGAATGGACACTGATGGAAACACAATTGGACATGTGTACTGTTGGTACTTCAGACTATGCACATCTTTAGAGAATTTGCAATCGTATATGGTAGCTTTTGTGTCCATACGCATCTCCCAGGAAATCCGCAGTCCATCGACCGATCGACTGACAAAGTGGAGGTGGGAGAGTTTTTTCAGAAGATGGGCAACGACATCACTGAGGATGATGTCGTACTGCCTTCGTGGGCATAAGTAGGTATCTAGAAATATAATGAATTTATCCATGTATTGTAAGGCTGCATATAATAAATCCTCGGGATATGTAACTAACTGATTATGTGTAAGCCCCAGTTATCAATCTTATAGAGCTGCAGGAATGCGGATACGCCTAATGGCCGTGTCGCTGAAAAATATTCAGTGTAAGTTTAGGCGACATGGTAAGAAGTAATGTGAGAAATTTCGAAAAGGCTTAACCTACGTGCAA